AGATCATAAAATAAACGGAAAATTTTAATAAAATTTTTATCCAAAATCTTTGACTATTCCATACACCCAACGTTGACAGGGCTATTCTGTTTAACATCAAATGACCAGAATAAAAAATTGTCATTTTTAATATTTAGTTTATACAACTTTATAGTTTATGTAAAATTGAAAAAAGGAGATATCAATGCGTTTACGATTCCTTTACCATCTTTATTTTCCGAAGCATTTTATAATAAAACTTCCTCATCCTTTTGTCGATTAATTATTAACAGCAATTCACAAGAAATAGAAGGTACAAATTAAAAACTCAAGTTTTCAATAAATAAGTAAAGATTGATTTATTATCAAATTCCCTTCTTATTACGAACTATAAATAAATACTAAATTATAAATTATCAAGGAGCGCTTTCACACAATAAAAGCAAATTTTCATCAAATCTTTAAGAACACAACAAAAGAGTTTCTAATTCTTCTTCTTTTTCTGAACTTTTTCCAAAAGGAAATTTATAAAACAAGTGTAATTCTAAGAAGAGAAGCGTTTATTCAGAAATATGTATTATTACAATTGTAAAGCATCTCATTATAAATTCTCAGCATATTTGATGAATTTATATAGCATTTCTGAAATCTATAGAAGCTATTATGGAAAATTGTTACTTCAACATCATTTTCATTATTTATAGATAAATACAGAGGCAGAAAGAGGCGGAACTGTTGGAAAAATATTTAGTCAATAATTCCGCATTACGCCAACAGTTATACAATGTTTTACTAGACAATGTATTTTGCCTACAATGTATTTTATTCATAAACTTCAATGTAAGCTGAAAATTAAGAAATATACACAAATTTCAGAAAATAAAAGATCAAAAGAGATAAAAATAAAAATAAATGCAATAAAATAGTAAATATTAAAATTTTTAAATAATAAATTGTTAATAAAGTTAATAAAACAATAAAGTTAGTAAATCAATACTTTGATTTAATAAATGTTGTGCAGATTGTTCATAAAAAAATTTTATATACGCATTAGCCATTGTTCCTAAAGACAATTTCTCTCATGAAAGAATAAATATTTTCCACTGACAACGATAAATAAAAAAAATTAATTAATAAATTGTGACGCTCTCCGAAGAAAGGTACCAAGGAAAGAAAGAATTTTACGGTTATGTTTGTATTATTTTTACATTAAATTAATATTTAAATTAAATATTTTTTGCTTCTTTGGTACCTTTCTTCGGAACGCGTCACACATTATTATAAATTTTTTTCTCTAAATATTTTAATACATGAAGAATATAGAGTGAAACTTCTTCTTAACACATTAAATATATTTTAATAAAATGGATTAAATTTATTATTTAATCCATTTGCATTTTATTGAAATCTATAAAATAGAGAATATATCACAGAAACTTAAGTGCAATTGTAGTTAATTTTCGAATTTTCTTCTCTATAGTCAAAACAAAATTTGTGATCTGAAACATTTTGAAAATAGTTTTTTATTTTCCTACTAAATACATAAGTAAGTAAACATTTAATATATCTGTTGCTTTAAAGTATTTAATTAATCAACAAATTAATAATTCATAGACTAATAATTAATCTATCAACAATGAATAAATTCAATTCATTTATTTGAAATAAATAATTTTAATAATTATTGAACTAATAATTAATAATAAATTAGAAACTAAACCTGAATAAAATAATAGATTATTATTTTCTTTTTACTGTTAATTTTAATTTTTTTTTTAAAGAAAACTATTACTAAATAGTAAAGTCTTTACAAAAATTCAATTATTTTCAAAAAAATTTTAATTGAATTCTTCGGAAGAATAAAATTTTTTTTAAAATTTGTAACACACTTCGAAAAAATTCAATTTTTTTTCTAAAATTCTAATAAATCCTTCTAAATAATTCAATTATTTTTATAAACATAAAAATTCTTCGCAAGAATTCAATTAATTTTCTAAATAGTAAAATTCTTTGCATGAATTCAATTATTTTCAAAACAATTTTAATTGAATTCCTCGTATAAATTCAAATATTTTTAAATATTTCCATAAATTTCAATTACTTCCTAAACTTTTAATAAATTCTTCGAAACAATTCAACTATTTTTATAAATACTAAAATTCTTTGCAGGAATTAAATTATTTTTAATCAAATTTATATAAAATTACACTAAAGAATTTAATTATTTTCAAAGATTTCCAAAAAATTCAATTTCAATAAGAATTTAAAATTCTCTAAAAATAATTCAATTATTCCCAAAATTGTTTTAAAAAATTCTATATAAAAATTAAATTACTTTCAATGCAATTTTTAAATATATTAGTCAAAAAAATTTAAAGAATTCAATTATTTTCAAAAAATAATAAAATTTTTGTGATGAATTCAATTATTTTGAATGTACTTAATTTTAATAAAATTCTTTAAAGAAATTTAATAATTTTCGAAACAAATTTAATTAAATTTGTCGAAAAAATTTCATTATTTTTAAATATTTCTATAAAATTCTTCATAAAAATTTAATTATTTCTTAAAATTTTAATAAATTCTTCAAAACATTTCAATTATTTTTATAAATAGTAAAATTCTTGGCAATAATTAAATTATTTTTATAAATATTAAATTTTTTTTCAAAAATTCAATTCTTTTCAAAACAATTTTAATAGAATTCCAAGAAAGAATTTAAATTTTCAAATATTAACATAAAATTTATTTATTTTCTAAAATTTTAATAAATTCTTCGAAACAATTCAATTATTTTTATAAATTTCACTTCTTTTCGTTAAAAGACAAAAATTTTGTTAAATATTATGTTTTGTCAAATTGAAATTATTTTTGTTCTTTACTTCTAAACAAAATTACAAAATTGTTAAACAACTGTGATTAAGAAATAGAAAATTTATTTATTTTGCATTATTTTTGTTTATGAATCACAATTTTTTAAATACTTAAAATTATTATTTTGTTTTAGAAAAAGAAAAAAAATATTTGCACAATTCCTATTTTTAATCTTATTTTTGGAACAGGATTTCCCACAAAAATTAAGACATTCAAAAATTTCAAATTCAAATCATAAAAATATTGTTACTGTAACTTCATCAAAATTATTTTCATCATTTTAATTCAATTATTATTTTCTAGAATTTTAAATTATTTTTTATGAAAATAATAATTGAATTCCTTAAAAAAAAATTTATTATTTATAAAAATAATTGAATTCCTGCAAAATTTTTATTATTTATGAAAATAATTAAATGTTTGGGAAATTTTATTAAAATAGTAGATATTGAAAACACCTGAAATTAGAAAAATTTTTGAAAATAATTTAAATTAGGACAAGAATTTTTTTGACATTTATGAAAATAATTCAACTTTGAAGATGAATTTTGTTATTTATAAAGATAATTAGGATTTTTATGAGAATTTTTTTCAAATTTTGAACATAGTTGAATTTTATAAAAAGAATTGTATCTTTTTTTGAAAATAATTGAATTTCTGCAATTATTTATAATTTCTCCAAAATTGCATTTTTTTTAGTGTTTTCAACAAAAATTTAAATTAGAAAATGTTTAAATTCTAATATTTTTAAAATTGCTAAGTTTATTTTAAAAAAAAGGTAGTAAGAAGTTAGCAGCGCGCGAATTGTTGCTAGTTAATTAAATAGTTATAATGATTTGTACAAATTTCTTAAAAATATTTTTCAATTATATTCTCTTTAAATATAGTTAAAATTTTCAAAGAGTTAAAGTATAGTGACAATTTTTATTTTTAATAAGAGAAGTAATAAAAAAAAGATAATTTGGTATTTATAAAAAGGAAATAATATTTACAGAACAATATTATCAAAACAGTAATTAATACATAATTTTTCACTTACTTAAATTGTAATGTGTTAATCTTTACTTCACGACTATTATTGACTGACTGCAGATAGTATTGTAAAGTACGAAAATGCCATTTTAAGAAACTTAAAATAAAAATAAAACTTAGTTTTTAAAAATATTTTTTGTAAATTAAAATTTTTTTTTATCTTTCTTACTTTTCCTACACTTTTCATATTCATTATTGTAACTTTTCCAGCAGTTTAATGGCAAGACATGTAACTATGCACAATTACAAAAAGTAATAATTTTTGAATTTTCACTGGCAATGTCATACCTGAAATTATTCGTAACAAAAAATTAAAAATTTATGATTGAATTGCTATAATTAATTAACTTTATACTTAGATCATAAAAAACTAAATGAAATTATTATAGAGTATTAAGTTAAATTATTATGAAACATTAAGTTAAATTATTATCAAACATACATATCAAATGTATGTTAGAACAATTCGGTAATGTTACTTTCTGTCAAGGTTGGCCACTTCGAACTTAAAATGCGTAAAGATGAGAACGAGCTACTTCATTTGCAAAAACTGCGATTCTGTATAACTTATAATTTAATTGATAATCTTATTAATATTTATATTTAATTTTATTGATTGATTTTTATTGACAAAAGTCAAAAGGTGGTCCAACCTCGACTATACTCCCCTAATAAATAATTGAAATAAGAGAATAATAAATAAAAAATTAAAATTTTATTCTCACTTTTGACACAGTTTTCCATACTCATGATATTGTAATTTTTCCAGATGAGAAGACCTGTTACTGTTTACAATATTATAAAAAAATACTAATTTTCCCACACATTGAATTATACAACTTGAATAAATTAATATTTCAAGTTTCTTTATTTTATTATAATTCATTAATTTTACATATTAATTTTATGATTAAACAAAATATATAACACATAAAGCATTTTTTATAATTCAAATATAATGTGTGATTATTTTCCTTTTACGTATTTCATTATTTATATACTGTTGAAATCAGTGTATAGTAGGAGAAGGATAATTTTACAATCTTAAAATGAAAGAGAGATTATCTTTAATAACACAATCAAAAATAATGTCAAATTCAAAAATGATTTCTTACTTTTGCCACAGTCTCCATATTCATTACTATAATTCCTCCTGCAGTTAACTGACAAGGAATATCACTTTGCATAATAATAAAAGGCATTAATTTTCTATATTTAATTGGCAATTCATACCATTTATTGGAATAACTAAAATCGTTTAGAATTAAATTTTTTTATATAATAATAATAATAATAATAATAATAATAATAATAATAATAATAATAATAATAATTAAAATAATAGTAATAAAAAAATTATAGTAGGTAATAAAATAGTAATAATAATAATAAAAAATTGTAATTTTAAAATATAATTGTTATTATATTGCTTATTAATAGTTTTTAATATAATTTTTAAATTATACATCCTAATAGAGAATTTTAATGCGCATATTTATAATCAAAGACAAAATTATTAATTTTTTCCCCATTATCAAGGTAATCGAGAAAAATCAAATTTTTTCGAAAACAGAAAATTAATTTAAAATTCTCTTCTAGAATACATAATTTAAAATTTTTAAACAAAACAAAAATTTATAAAAATAAAAAAGATATCGTAATCCCTTTTGCTAACAGGCGCTTCAATTTGAAAAAAAATTCGAAACTTAAGCTGATATTGAAACTTACACGTCAAATGAAATTGAAGAGCTTACACTTATCAAATTTTGAGCAGGTATTCCAATAGAGAAAATATGAACCAAAGATCCAAAACCAAGTAAAAATTGATTCATTTGAGATATGTAATTGTTTCCCGAAGAAATCGATGACTAAATAGAATTAATTATTTAAAAAAATTATATTTCAAGGTTTTTATTTTCAAAATTATTTCCAATATTTAATTATACCTGAACTAATGGTAAGCTTATTGTTAAAACATTTATTCCCATAGTAAAAAATAGATATGGTGAATAGAAGTCTTCAAGCGCATTTGCATATCTTCAGCGCATCAGAATAACAAATTTATGTAAAAGAAACAAATTGATAATAATATTGTTAATACATATAATTATCATTATTTACTTGTAAACGGACTAATAAATACTAATAATAATAATAATTCCGACTACAAAAAATAATAATAATAATAAGAATTTTAAAAAATACCTAATAGCGTAAAGTTGTAATTTAATAGAAAAAAAGAATTTCTTCTGAAACTCCTTAATATTTATATTTTTACCAGAAGATAAAAATGTATTGACCGATGTCTTTATTTGATACCTTAATTTTGCAAAAAATAATAGTATATTAATTAAATTATTTAAATATAAAATTAATTAAATTAATTAATACAATTATTATTATATTATATTATATATAAAAAGAATTATTAATAATTAATTATTATACATATTTTTTTCACCTGAAAATTTCGAGTAATCCACAAGCATGCAAAATTATAACAGCATACATTGAATCTAAGGCACAAAAAACTAATAGTACATGAAATAGTGAAGAAGATCCATAAAGTAGAATATAATTAAAATATTTTTCTTCATCGAAAAAAAATCTTGATGGAAAATAAAATTCTAATTTTCGTGATTCATTTAACGGATCAATTATGTCAAGAAAAATTGGTGAGAAAGTTATGCAAGAAGAGACAACAAAGCAACTATAATAATAACCTGTAATTTATAAATATAATTATAATATAGATAAACATTTATATAAATACAATAAATATAATTAGAAAAAATATATATTTACTTCTTTATACTTAATATAAAAAAAACAATGAATAACAATAAATTATACTTGAATTTTTTAATTATTAAACAAAAGTCCGACGGTAATTAGTATAAAAAGTGACCTTTCAGTAATAAAATTATTAAAGTGCGACTTTTATTTTATTGAAGTGCGAATTTATTCTTATTAAATCTTATTCACCGAAACAAACTACAGTATACAGTTTTCCAATTTTTGCCTTTCGTTCGAGTATAGTTAATTCATATTTAGATGAAAAAAATTTCCAATCTTTTTCAATGCACTCAATAAGAAATAATAACTGAAAAATATACAAATATTAAATTAGACAATACATTATTAAATTTTTTTAAATAAGTATAATTAATTAATTGATCATCAAAAAGTTTAAATGACAAAAGAATTAAAAAATCCGAAAAACGCAGTCAAAATATTAAAAAAGTGATTTTTTTAAGATGATTTAAAGAATTTTTTAAATTAAGAATTAAGATTTAAGAAAATTAATTAATTAATTAATTAAGAATTTTTTTGATCTTCATCTTCTATATAAATTATAAATAATTAATTACTATAAATTTTTTATAAACAAATAATTACTTTTTTTGGTTTTGAGGCATAAACACTAAATATAAAAAAAGCCATTACAAAAAGAGTGCTTGAAGTGATGCATTCAATTACATTCTGCAAGTTTCTTCTTTCATGTACTATAAATGCACCCTAAAAATATTATAAAATAAATTTAAAAAATTGTTAGTAAAAAAAATGTATTATATTGAATATTAAGTAAATTAATATAAATTAATATTAATTCATATTTTAATCATTAATTTTACGTGACACGCTCCGAAGAAAGGTACCTGAGAAGCAAAGAATTTTAAATGTCATTGATTTAATTTTCTCTTTCTTTTTAATTATATCGTAAAACTAAAATCAGATTTTAAAGACTATTTTTTGTGTAAAGAGAATTTAAACACCAATTTATTCACTTTTTGTAGGTATTTTTATTCAAAAAATTTAAAACATAACCTACAATTTTTTTTTCTTCAGAAGTCCCAAATCGTAATTTCATAGTGAAAATAAATAAAACTGGTAAATAGTAGGGGAATGTAGTCAAGGTTGGCCTACTGTCTAGGTAGGCCACTCGCGTTTTTTTGTCAAGTTCACTAGCGCCACCTACGCGCATTTTTGTCGAAGCTTGTCTTAGTGAAACCTAACTTTTTGTTCAATTACATTTTCGGAAAATCGAAAATTGTGTTTTCTGTGACGTCGGTACAAAAAAAGCTCAAAAAAAGTTTTGTGCATAATGTGAAAAACCATTAATAAAAGATAAAAAACAAATTGAATCGTCAAGGCAAGTATGCAGAAAATTTGTGGGACTCATGGTTGAAAGGAAAACAAAGTAAAAAATCGAATCCCGAAACGTATTTCTTTATGGTTACAACAATTCGGTAATGTTACTTACTGTCAAGGTCGGCCACTATGTGTTTAAAATGCGCAAAGTTGAGGACGAGCTACTTCATTTGCAAAAACTGCAATTCTGTATAACTCATAATATAATTGATCATCTTATTAATATTTTTATTTAATTTTATTAATATTTTAGTGCAAAACTTTTTTTTATTTATATTTATTTTTTTATATTGTTTATTGTTATTATTTTGTTATTTCATTAAGTTACAAACTGTAAACAATAAAGAATCAATTTTCCGTAACTCCAAACATGTTATTTTATTTTTTAACGATTAATGCCCTTTGAATTTTAAACATGGCCGACCTTGACTGTAATGGCCAACCTGGACTACAAATTTTTTTTTTTTTAAATCTTTATAACTTTTTCATTTTTAAACCTGTCAATTTACTTTGTACAGAAAAAATGTTCCTATTAAACAGGACTTTCCAACCATATACTTCAATTGTCCAAATTCATTTTTAAAAAAAAGTTATAAACAAAAGTCAAAAAGGTGGCCGACCTAGACTATGTTCCCCTAATTTGAAATGAAATTTTTTTCGTTGCAGAGACGAGAAAAATAATTTTAAAGAATTTTCTCTCTAAAAATCTGGTATAATTTTGACCTAAGAAGCAAAAAATGTTAGGTTGTGTTTATATTTTTTGGAGTAAAGGAAAAGAAAGAGAATTATTAGGACAAATTATTAATATTCAAATCTTCATTACAACAAAAAGATTCAATAAAAATTGTTTTCGAAAAATGGTTTAAAATACGATTATCTCAAAAGAATTAATTTTAATTTTAAATATTTAATTTTCTATTTCTTAATATATTATCACAAAAAATATTTACTTGAACATAAATATTTGATAAAATCATAAAATAAACGGAAAATTTTAATAAAATTTTTATCCAAAATCTTTGTCTATTCCATACACCCAACGTTGACAGGGCTATTCTGTTTAACATCAAATGACCAGAATAAAAAATTGTCATTTTTAATATTTAGTTTATACAACTTTATAGTTTATGTAAAATTGAAAAAAGGAGATATCAATGCGTTTACGATTCCTTTACCATCTTTATTTTCCGAAGCATTTTGTAATAAAACTTCCTCATCCTTTTGTCGATTAATTATTAACAGCAATTCACAAGAAATAGAAGGTACAAATTAAAAACTCAAGTTTTCAATAAATAAGTAAAGATTGATTTATTATCAAATTCCCTTCTTATTACGAACTATAAATAAATACTAAATTATAAATTATCAAGGAGCGCTTTCACACAATAAAAGCAAATTTTCATCAAATCTTTAGGAACACAACAAAGAAGTTTCTAATTCTTCTTCTTTTTCTAAACTTTTTCCAAAAGGAAATTTATAAAATAAGTTTAATTCAAACAAGAGAAGCGTGTATTATTCCAATTGTAAAGCACCGCATTATAATTTCTCAGCATATTTAATGAATTTATATTGCATTTTTGAAATCTATAGAAGCTATTATGGAAAATTGCTAACTTCAACATCACTTTCATTATTTATAGATAAATACAGAGGCATAAAGAGGCGGAACTGTTGGAAAAATATTTAGTCAATAATTCCGCATTACGCCTACACTGCCGTACTAAGGAAAAACTTACATAACTAACAATTTTGTGAAATTTTAGTTTTTGGGATCAATTAACATGGAGAGAAAAACTGCATTTAACTGTGTTAATAAAAATTAAATATATCAATTAATAAGTGCAAAAAATGTTAATTAAAAATTAAAGAATATGAAGAAAGTGAAGAAATACTTGATAAAAACTTATACGAAGTACTTTGCGTGCCCTGAAAATCGTACGAATGTTTTTCCTCCGTATTTTCAAAAGGTAGACATTGTAAGTCACATTTTGCATAGGATTTATTTAAATAATAAATTTTTGTTTGCAAAATTAGAATCAGCACAGACACTTTTAAAAGAGAAGTGTCATTTAATTATTAAATTTTTATTTCTAAAACAGAGTTCTTGAAGCAAACAGTTTTTCTCTATTTTCCCAATTTGACAGATATTGCACTTATGTAAGTTTTTCCTTAGTACGGCAGAACAGTTGTACAATGTTTTACTAGACAATTTATTCTTTCTACAATGTATTTTATTCATAAACTTCAATGTAAGCTGAAAATTGAAAAATATACAAAAATTTCAGAAAATAAAAGATAAAAATAAATACAAGAAAATAGTAAACATTAAAATTTAAAAATATTAAATTGTTAATAAAAGTTAACAAATTAATAAAGTTAGTAGATAAATTTTTCCCCATACGTGTAAGTAACAGCAATACTTTGATTCAATAAATGTGCAGATTGTCCATAAGAAAATTATATACGCATGAGCTATTATTCCTAAAGACAGTTTCTCTCATGAAAGATTAAATATTTTCCACTGACAACGATAACTAGAAAAAATTAATTAATAAATTGTGACGCTCTCCGAAGAAAGGTACCAAAGAAGCATAGAATTTTAAGATTATGTTTGTATTATTTTTACATTGATTAAAAAAATTAAAAGTTTCTGTTTAATTCTGTAAAATAAAATAAAAACTAAAATTATTTTTACTAATTAGAAGCCCTTACTTAAATTGTAATGTATTAATCCTTACTTCACCACTATTATTGACTGACTGCTGATAATATTGTAAAGTACGAAAATGCCATTTTAAGAAACTTGAAATAAAAATAAAAGTTAGTTTTTAAAAATACTTTTTGTAAATTAAATTTTTTTTTATCTTTCTTACTTTTCCTACACTTTCCATATTCATTATTGTAATTTTTCCAGCAGTTAAATGGCAAGGCATGTTACTGTGCACAATTACAAAAAGTAATAATTTTTGAATCTTAACTGGCAAAGCGTACCATTCATTGTCATACCTGAAATTTATCGTAACAAAAAATTAAAAATTTATGATTTAATTACTATAATTAATTAACTATACAATTAAATCATAAAAAACTAAATTTAATTATTATAGAAAAGTAAGTAAAATTATTACAGAAAATTAAGTAAAATTATTACAGAAAATTAAGTTAATAAATTATTATAGAATATTAGGTTAAATTATTATCAAACATTAAGTTAAATTATTATCAAACATACATATCAAATGTAACAGCAGCGCTTTCATTTATCAAATTTTGAGCAGGAATACCAAGAAAATAAATATGAGCCAATGCTGTAAAGGAGAGAACGATTTGTTTCACGACGAAAAAAGTATTTCCCAATGACATCGTTGTCTAAATAAAATTAATTACACTAAATATTAGTTCGCAATTCATCTCTTTCAATACTTTTTTCAAATCGATTTTTTTATACCTGCAGTAATGCAAAACTTGTCGTTAAAACATTACATCCATATGTAATAAATAGAAAAGGTGAGAATAAGTTTTCCAAATCCTTTACATATCTAAAAAAAATACAATTCAGAACAAAAATTTAAATATCATAAATTCAACCTTAAATACCAATATTATCGAAAATTCAAAATAAAAATAACACTAAAATAATGAATTAATAATATCAACAACAAAATAATAAACAAAAATAAAAGTTATAAATAAAAATAAGGAAAATATCTAAACAAAAATAAACGCAGATAAACAATTACAAACAAAAGTAAACAAAAGTAAACAAAAGTAAACAAAAATAAACAAAAGTAAACAAAAGTAAACAAAAATAAACAAAAATAAATAAATTTAGAAAAATAATGCCAATATAAATAGTATAAATACCTGAGAGCATAATTATGATACATAATGGAAGCATGAAGTTCCTTATAAAAATGTTCAATTCCCAGTAAATCCTTGGAACAAGAATAATTAAATTTGCGGCTTATATTTTTCATTCGATGCCTTAAACGACAAAAATTATTATTTTCTCGGGACAATATCAATAATTCATAAACGATACAAAATTTAAAAAAAAACTCGATTTTACAAAAAAAAGGACTAAATATTAAGAAAAAAAAACAATTTTTTCACCTGATAATTGCAAATAATCCACATGCCTGTTGAACTGACATAATGTACAAACTATCAACAGTACAAAGAATTGTTACCATACAAAAACATGTCACGGCACCGAAAATAATAACACCCAATTGATATTTATCTTCGTCGAAAGGGAGTTTTGCAATGTACACAGGATGCATTTTTCGAGTTTCATTTGAAGGAACAATATAATTAAGTAATACTGGCGAACAATTCATTAGAACGTATGCAAACAACGCACAGTAATTGTACTCTGTAATTTTAACATAAATAAAAATTTATCTTTATTTTTATTTTTTTCATTTTTCGAATTATAAATATTTGATAAATATTTTTTCACTAAAAAAAACTTACGAAATAATAAAGTCGAAAATGTTCTTCCAACATCCGTATGTTCAGTAAGCCTATTTAATTCACCTTTAGAAGCCCACAATTTCCAATTATCTTCAATGCCCTTAACGATCGCGAATATCTGAAAAATAAATCAATATAGCAAGAAAAATTATTAACAAATTCCCGAAAAAACAAATGAAAAAAATGTTCTATTATTTATAGTTGATTTAAATAATTTTTATTTAAGGGCAATTGAATCATTATGACGTCACAGTTTCTGCAAAGCATTAGTTATAAAATTATGACGTCATATTTGTTCAAATGACCTTAAATCAAATAAATTATATTTGAATCATTAAAATTTACAATAAAATAAATTATTAATTTAAATAATTACTGTTTTTGGTCTAAAGGAATAAACCGAAAATACGCCCAATCCCCAAAAAAATACTATCATTATACTGCAACAATCAAGTACAGAATCCATATCGCGATTCCAATTACTTATCACAAATGAACTCTAAATCTCAAAAAAATTGTTTTGTTTCATTATTAATCACCAAAGAATACAAAAATTCTGCATTTAAATAAAATAATTTTTCTTTGAGAGAATAAATTAAAAATAAAGTTATATTATTACAAACTTATATTATTCAAAAAACAAATTTAGTTTCTCAAAGAAAGAAAAAAGTATTTTTTGTATTTTCAACAACCTGAAAATAAAGAGTGGAAATAATCACAAGATAAGCTAAAGATTTTAATAAAACGGTTTGCCAAAATTCTTGATCAATCCAAAGACCCAACACCGTGAGTGACTTTTTGACTATAATAAACATTTCAGAATCAAAAAGTTCCATTTTGAATAAAGAACAATTCGAAAAGCGAGAATTTTCAAAGAATCTTTACTTTTACAAGAAAGGTACAAATATTTAGTTACTATTGAATCTCTCAACAAAAATCTAAGCATTAATAATTAACTCAAAAACCTTACAATTATCATAATTAATAATGAATGCAAATGTTTCAAGCGAAATGTTAGTGAGAAAAAAAAGACAACAAAATGTGTTGAATATTTTAGAATCACTTCTGACACTTCTACTACTTTATTCTTTATTGGGTTAAACTAAAGTGTTAGTATAAATAATATATTTCTTTTCAACATTTTCGAAAGATAAGTTTTACGTAAAAACTTTATTTCAAATGAGAGAAACATTTATACCGAAATGTTACAATTTCTCTATAAAGCATCTTATTACGAATTCCAAATAAAGGCAAAACTCATGTCATGAATTTATAAATTTACAGAAATCTATAGCTATTATGGAAAATTACTATGTTTATACAATTTTCTTTACATTATATTTTTAATATTTTATTTCAAGAGAAATACCGGGGTAAAAAGAAGGCGGAATTGTTGAATAATTTCTTATTTAATATGTCCGCATTTTAGTGCAGTTACAATACATCTTTTAAATTTTTTAACACTAGGCAATATTTTACTTCCTGTTTCTAAAATATTCAAACAAAAATTATAGTCCATAATAGAGTTATTGAAATAAACGATATTGATATTAGTTTCTCGAAATTTGAAATTATTTCCTCACTCTCAACATGCAATAGATAATAAATTCATTGTGAGTATAATCCCAATTTTTCTCTCTTTCAGGCATAACACTTGTTTGCTTCTTTCTTCTTTCTTTTTTTGTGAAATGTACATCGTGAAAATGTTGTTCCATAAAAATTCTGCAAAATATTCTGAAAATTGAGGATTTACGAAAATTCTAAAAGATTCTAAAAAAAAAAATTATGCTCGTCGAATAGAGTTTGGAAATTTTACAGACAACAACTCTTGTGATATTCCAATAACAAGATCGGTAAGAATTCTTCCAGTATTTTTTCGCATAATTATTTAATAATTAAATTTAAAAATATATATATTATAATAAATAAATAAATTATTTTAATACCATATCAAAAAGTTACAATATTCATACAAATTTTCTAAGAACATTTTTCTATTCACTTTCAAAATTTAAATCAATGACTGACTTTTACTTTGTCTTTACTAATGAATTTAAATACAATACTAAATAAAATTAACTGATTTAAAAACAAAAGATCAGACACTGATTTAAAATATTTAAATATGTTAAAATTTTAAGTTTTTAACTGATTCAAATTCAGAGAGTAGAAATTAAAAATCAAATTGTTTGATTTGTAATTTAATAAGTATTAATTAATTAAGTATTAATCTGTTACTAGTTTCATTCATTGTTATAAAAATTGAAGAAATGTACATTTCATTAAACTTGTGAGTTCGCCACGTAGTATAATTTTTGTAAGAAATGTTTCTGACATATAAACATATTCCTCTAATTACAAACAAAATAATTCACACTTTCAATTATTTTTTCACTGTAAATAATCACAGGAAAGAATTATTAAATAAAAAAATAGTAATAAATAATGAGAAAAAAATTTTTTTTCCACTCACAGAAGTTATCCAAGTTAATTTCACATTTTCGTTGACTGACTCACTGCCGACAACATTGTAAAATAGGAAAATGATGTTTTCAGAATCTGCATATAAAAAAACAAAATGCTTATTAATCAAGAAAAATAAACACTAGTGATAAAAGGAGCCAGCCTTAGTAAAACTTATTCTCTTTTACTCTCTAATTTTAATTAGTAAAAACTAAAAATGTTTATACTAATTTGAATTAGTAAATGACTGTTTGCTTCTGAATCAGTAAATTTTATACTAATAAATAGTAATTTCTATTTTAATTTATTAAGTAAACTAGCAACGTGATATTCAACTTATTATTCTAATGCAAATTACAAAATTTTTTATTTTCAAATATAAAATTTTTAAATATTTTTATAATCAAAACTTCAAAAATTCACTTATTAAGTACAAAATTATTTGTTATTGTTAATATTTTCAAAAATTTTAAAATAATTCTTGGCAAAAATTCTATTATTTTTACATAAATAATAACATTCTTCAGAAGAATTCAATTATTTTCTTAAATAGTAAAATCTTTACAAAAATTCAATTATTTTCAATAAAATTTCACGAAAGAATTTAATTTTTTTGTTAATTCGTTTAAAAATTTTTGAAAAGAATTGAAATATTTTCTAAAATTTTAATAAATTCTTCGCAACAATTCAATTCTTTTTTTAAATAATAAAATCTTTACAAAAATTCAATGATTTTTAAAACAATTTTAATTAAATTCCTCGGAAGAATTCAATTTTTTAAAAAAAATTTTAACACATTTCGAAAAAATTTAATTTTTTTCTAAAATTTTAATAAATCCTTCTAAAAAATTCAATTATTTTTATAAATAGTAAAATTTTTCGAAAAAATTCAATTAATTTTATAAATAGTAAAATTCTTTGCAAGAATACAATTATTTTCAAAACAATTTTTATTGATTCCTCGAATGAATTCAAATATTTTTAAATATTTCCAAAAATTTCATTTATTTCCTAAAATTTTAATATATTATTCGACACTATTCAACTATTTTTATAAATACTAAAATTCTTTGCCAGGAATTAAATTATTTTTAATCAAATTTAAATAAAATTACACGAAAGAATTTAATTATTTTCAAAAATTTCCATAAAATATATGTAATTTCAACAAGAATTTAAAAATTCTCTGAAAAATAATTCAATTATTCTAAAAATATTTTTAAAACATTCGATATAAAAATTAAATTACTTTCAATGCAATTTTTAAATATTTTTGTCAAAAAAATTGAAAGAATTCAATTATTTTCAATAAAATAATTAAATTCTTTAAAGAAATTCAATTATTTTCGAAACAACTTTAATTGGATTTTTCGAAAAAATTTCATTATTATCAAATATTTTTATAAAATTCTCCATAACAATTTAATTATTTCTTAAAATTTTAATAAATTCTTCGAAACATTTCCATTATTTTTATAAATAGTAAAATTCTTCGCAAGAATTCAATTAATTTTATAAATAGTAAAATTCTTTGCAAGAATACAATTATTTTCAAAACAATTTTTATTGAATTCCTCGGATAAATTCAAATATTTTTAAATATTTCCATAAATTTCAATTATTTCCTAAAATTTTTATTTCGATATAATTCAACTATTTTTATAAGTACTAAAATTCTTCGCAAAAATTTAATTGTTTTCAATAAAATTTTAATAAAATTCTTCTTCATAAAATTCAATTGCTTTCAAAATTTTCAATTAAAATTATTTAAAGAAACTCCATTAGTTTAAAAAAATTCAAAGAAATTTTTTAGAAGAATTTAATCAGGATTTTTAGAAATTTTAATAAAATTCTTTGCGAGAATTCAGTTATTTTCCTAAATAATAAAATTCTTTGAAGGAATTATATTATTAGCAAATTTTTTGATAAAATTCTATGCAATAATTCGATATGATTTTAAATACGTTTACTTTAAAATTGAAAATATTTGAAAAGAAAAATTATAAAAAAGTTTAAAAACAAAAAAGCAAACAACAACAAACTACAAACTGCGAACAGATTGCCGGAACATGTACTTTATTATTATTAATTTTATTAATTTACTGATTCAAAAGAAAAAAGTCAGCCACTAATTCAAATTAGTTAACATTTTTATGTAGTTTTTACTAATTTAAATTTAACGTACAAATTTCTTAAAGTTAAATAACAAATTTACAATTATTTATTATTATTCTTACATTTGCTACAGTTTCCATATTCGCAATTGCAATTTTTCCAACAGTTAAATGACAAGGTAATTTACTGTGCATAAAAATGAAAAGTACTAATTTCTGAATTTTAACTGGCAATTCATACCATTTACTGTCATATCTAAAATTTTAGAAATGAAAAATTTAGTTCACCTAGTCATCGCAGTTGAATAATTATCATATTAACCTTGTATTATTAAATTTATGTAATTAAAGTTAAAAAATACAGTTTCTCAACATACACATCAAAGGCCACAGCAGTGCTTTGATTTAATAAATGTTGTGCAGGTAGTCCAAGAAAATATGCATGAAACATTGTTGCCACTGACATGACAATTTGTCTCAAGAGAGATAAATTATTTCCCACTGATGACGATAACTAAATAAAATTAATTATCAAATATTATCATTAATATTTTTCCTCATAATTGTATTAAATTTTATTTTATTACCTGAACTAGAGCAAAACTTATTGTCATAATATTGGATCCGTTTGCGATAAGTAAAAAAGATGAGTAGTAATCTTCCAATTCTCTTGCATAACTGAAATTTTATAATACAACATTGTAAAATTTACTATATATACAATAACATTAAAACAGTTATAAAAGTAAATTTTTGAAAATAAAAGTAAAATTATATTTCTAATTCTGTAAGAAAAAAATAGAAAATTATGAAAAAAAATTATATTCCTCTAAATATGAATATTAGATAGTAAAAAACACACTCACAAATTTTGATAAAAAGTAAAAAGTGGTATTTTATCTAAAATATGTGGAAAAAAGGAGTCGAAAAAAGTAAGAAAAAATTGTTCAATCCAAAAATTAGTAGAAATGTTCACTAATTTAAATTAGTAGATAACTTTCTAATTTTTTAGTTTTAGAGTTTTTCTTTTTCGATTTAGAGAGTAGAAAAAAATGTTTCATAAATAGAAATAAATAACAATAGATACCTAACAGCATAATAATGATAATCAATCGAAAAATATAATTCCTTAAAAAAAAGTTCATTATCCTTTTTATTCTTGGAATTAGTCAAGTCAAACGTAACAGATATGTTTTTCATTCGATAACTATAATGATAATGAAGATTATTATTTTCTCCCTGCAATTTATAAATACCAT